TTAACCAACGTTTCGGAGGTCATACTGCCTCCGTCATCAGGGCTATGAAGATTTCTGTCTTCTGGGTTGTTGCGCTGTGTAGTGTGGTCGATGTTTATCAACGTCTCACAGGTCATACTACCTCCGTTCACCTGTCGCCCTGATGACGGAGGCAGTATGACCTCTGAAACGTTGGTAAACATCTACCAGACTACACAGCGCAACAACCCAGAAGACGAAAATCATCAATTTTAATATTATACTTTCATCCAGTTCTCTCTTCACGTCAGTTTTCCCGATTGTCTCACATTATTTGATTTTGATTTCATATCCTTAAAAAAATTTCTTGATAAGAGTAAAATACATAATAAGAGCATTGCAAACTGCCAACATACCGAGAACGTCCGTCCGTTTGTTTGTTTGTTTGTTGGTATAAGAGGGTTGTTCATGTCCTGATGTAACAGGGCTTCACTGTGAACTTACTGATTAAGTTTCTTTGTTAAGGTATCGGCATCGCGGCCTGGAGACACATTAATATTCTGTTGTTGAGTAATCGTTCGTCTTGCGCCGTCTGCTGTGGCGAAGAGACACGATCGCTAGTATGGAACAGCTGAAAGACATCGCGCGCTTGGTATTCATGGCTTGGGAATTGTGCAGCCACATCGCGACGAGCCTGATTCAGGGACAGTCCCTGCCACGACGCAGTAGACCGCCAGACACACAGTCAAGGCGACACGTCCCGCTGGCGTGTTCCATTTCACAATGGACGCGACTGTACAGGGGTGCGAGCAGTAATCTGCATACCGAGATTAGACAAGACACCGCTCAATTCTCTTTTTAAACTTGTTCCAGAAGCAAGCGGGAAAGTTCATTCGATGCTTTCTAAGAGTGGGCGTACGCACGACCGGTTGTGACCAATCAGATTCATCCGTACGTTTGTTTGTGAACAGGGCGATACAAAAAGTATGTTTCAGCCTATGATAGTCGGGTTTTAAAGGCAACTGGATTTTAAAAAAACGCGATTTTCGTGCACAGAGCAACCCAACGAAAGTATTCGACCACAGGAACAAATCTATAACAGGGTGTTTCGTAAAATATGTTAAAAAAAATTCGTAAGATTTTTATTCTTTTGAAACGGTGATACACATGTTCTGACTAACTACATTCCACTATGTGACACGCTGTCTTGAGACTCTGCAACGAGAACAAACTAAACATTTGAGGGATCTGTTTTAAAGAAAAAAAAACAACTTTCTTTTTAAAATCTTCTTTGCGAAGAAACTTTTACGCAAAGCTTTGAAGGAAGCAAACACTTTTGATAGGTTTCTGAAGGCGCGACCCTTCTCAAAGGCATGTTCGATATTCTGCAATGAGGCAATGTTTATGTATTAAGCGAGAAAAAACAGCGCAGTGGGGGACTGTGAGATGGCAGTGGGGGATTGTGACCTAAAATCGGAACGTAACAAGAGACTCCCATGTGTTTGCGTGCGTGAGGGAACAATTAGTTTGCGTGACGCCTCCCCTTATGCTTCCTGTACACTGGCCTCATAAAAATTTAGTGGCCTGTTAAGTTGTTTCATACATGATTACCACGTCCGCCAACAGATGGCAGAACTGAAACACAATACTTGATAGGAAGAAAGGAAATAGATAGAAGAGAAGGAAAATGGAAGAAAGGAGAAAATGAAAGGAAATAAAGCAGAAAGAAATGGTAAGTTCCCCAAACTGCAGGTGTATCTCCAGGGTCTAGCTCTACTCAAAGCAGCTGCGTTCTGCGAGCTGACAAGGTGGCAAAGACGAGCGATTTATTATTAAATTTTAACAATCCAATTGTGTGTTAAGTGCTGGAAGATTCGAAAATAATAACAAAACGAAACGAATGGTAATTGCTTCATTTGTCAACTTAGTAAGTCAGTCAGTCAGATACGGGCCGTGGAGGTACTGCAGAATCGCGCGCGCGCGGTCGCCTGACGACGCTCGCAGACCGACGCTTGGGCGACAAGTTCTTGTACTCGCTGACAGGTCTGTCTTTTGTCTCTAAAACTGTCTTTCGTATACAAATCAACATTAACCAGTATCAAAAGAAGGGACGAGAGAACGCGATGCAAACGATCCTCGAATACTTCCAACCTCACAATCACAAGATCGGAATTTAAAAAAAAAAAAGACTTGTCTCCAGTGTAGCTTTTTAATTATTGCGTTACATAACCTAAATAAATTATATATATTAGACATATTAGAGCTGACTACACTGCACGAAACAAGTAATACGTAAATAAAGCGATGCAGTTTTACAGAAAAGTTCTGCATGTCGTGGTTCTTCACTGCAGTGAGCTCAACAGCTGGGGGTTCACACAGCTCAGGCGAACACACGAAAGAAATACAGAAAGGAAGAAATAGAGGAAGAAACGATGGATAAACAAACAAATAGATAAAAAAATTAACCTTATTTTTACACTCGGACAAGGTCCGAACTTCTCACAGCCGAGTGACGGACGATTGGCGATAGGCCTCGATTCCTTCGTTCTTGTACGACAGAGGAACGCGTGGAGTGACTAAAGAAAATCATGAGCAGCGAGTGGCGGCTTAGGTTGCGCAACGGCAGCGGCAGATGAAGGCCAGGCCGCGTGTATAAAAGTGACGGTCGCGCCACGCGGACACTCAGCGCCATGATCGTGATTGTGCTGCTGACAGCAAGCTTCGCAACGGCGACATTTGGGGTGAGTAGCCACCAAATTTGGTTCCCTTTCGTCATCGCGAGTGTCGTGACTAAGCAGATAATGAAAAGGCGACACGGTCATGAAATGTTGGATTCCATGATAACAAGAAATAAGCTAATAATTGTCGAGTTTTACTTAACCAGCTTGTTAGTTAATTAGTTAGGTGGTTCGGGAGCCGATCAGGTAATTGGTCGGTTAGTTATCCCTACTAGAAGGGCGGAATTGTGGTGCACAAGGATTTCTTCTCTGCATCGATATATCGTTCAGAGAAAATGATACTGACAGTTAATAAAATATTGCTGACTTCTATCTTCCTCCGTTGCATCGTTTAGTAATTACATTATGTAGCGCCAGGCATTTCAATATCAGTGTCAAATTTCATTTCGAATTTACGTCCTATTTGATCAAATATTTCGGCTCATACACATTTAATCTGTTGGCGCATCGCCATCAATCTGCGACAAAGTAAATTAAAAGAAAAACATTTTCTTTAAACAAACATTCACTTATATTTTGCAGAGACCCCAGAAGACGCAGAACGGAGAACCGAGCCTTTGTGGTTCCCGCAGGAATGAAGGGGCATTTAACTTGTAAATGTGGATAGAGGCTAACGGTGTGGATTGTTTGCTGTCGCACTCAGGAGTCGGGTGGAATACTGGGATCCCTAGGGGTGACTCTGAAGTCATTGTCGGCGGAGTCTGTTAACACTGTTCGCGACGCTACTGCCCCTTTACTGCAAGTGGCGAATCAGACGGTCCTGGAAGCTCGCTCGACGCTGCAGGATCTGGGGGGCGATGTGGCTCTGGCCGTCGTCAGAGCCCGAGCGTCGGGCTGGGACGCGGCACACTGTGCCCAGGGTAAGTCGGTAACGGGTGTTCAGCCTCTCCTGGTCATGAGGTCACATCCACAAACTCTTATTCATCTGTTGCCTTCTGTGCAGACAAAGAACAAGAGGCAGAACTAGTTCTCCGGGAGGCCATGGCGAAGCTCGATGGCTGCACAACCCTGGCAGCGGTTGAAGTTGAAGTTCCGGTAGCCGTTATCAGCAACCTCACCAGCGAAGCACTGCAACGCATCGACACGGCAGCGGGTGACATGGCTGCCTGCTTGTCGGGGACAGGGACTATCACGTGTCTGTTCGACGTGGTGAGTCACAAGTTCCACGTTTGTCAAGTTTTGGTCGTGTAACAATTTGCATTAAGGTTTCTTGAGTTCGGGTGGCGTCGTCTGAGCCAGAGTCATGGTCCTTGTTCGCAGGTGCGAAACGTGACTCAAGACGTGGGCGCCGTAGCGCGCATCATCAGGACGCAAGCACTAAGCGCAGAAACGAGCGTCGCACACGTCGCTCACTACGTCACGACGTGCGCCACGGGGCAGGTAGACAGCGCGCGCAGATTGCTGCAGAAGCTGAATATCGCGGGCTGCACACAGTGACCCCATGAACCCGGCATTGTAGTACGTTAGCATTGTAAGTAGGTGTAAAGACATTAAAATCTGTGTCGTTTCTCTTCAAGTCTTCGTCAGCCCCATAATTCCCCTCCTTCCTCATCAGGAGACTGTCACCTACGCGGTGGAGATCATCATTGAGCTGCTTCTAGAAGAAAATCGGGGCCAGTCCAAAGAATTCTCCGTTTGCCAAAACGAAAGAAAGTCTTTCGAAATAACAGACTAGACGCTGCCCGATTCATACTATGCTACATAGGCTTAAGTAGGGTTGCTGCAGAAGTTTACCGACGCCATGATGATGGATTCAGCAAGGACCTCTGTAACGTCGGTAAACTTCCACCAGACTAGACGGCGCAACAACCCAGAAGACACCAATCTTCAGACTCACCGACGTGAGAACCTCAAATCGTACTAGGCGTAAGTACATTCCCCCGGAGTCGCACCTGATAATGTGATAGACAACATTGCCGTCAACGAGAATCGAACTCGTGCTATTCCTTACGAAAAGCGCTCTAATTTGTGAGACAAAGTGGCTCTCTCGTGAGGACTTGAACACCGTTTACTAATTCATGTGCGCGTTCAAGATAAGGGAATCCCATTAACGGGTCGCGGAGGACTTTCGGACTGGCACTGAGAGTGGAAGTGAAGTGCGACTGAAGTTCGTCGAAGAATCCATTTTCCTCTTGACTTCGCCGTGCAGGTTTATAAACACCTGCTGACTTCAACCGTCAAATGTAGGCCTACATCAGGCGTTCTTTGTTCTGTGTGACCCGCATGTAATTTTGTAACATTATACAACCCTGTGTTACACGCCGAAGCAGAGTTCAGATTTCCGTCCGGAGATCAGCCATCATGACTGAGATATTTTGTGATATTCCTCGTTCCCTCCAGGCAAATGCAGAGACAAAACCTTAAATTTGACCGGATTTCCTTTCATATTCTTCCTATTTGTGACACAATACAGCCTACTCCGAATAACTGACAGTCAAACTAGAAATAAATACACAAAGTTCGCGGCTTATTTAAACATTTAGCTGGAAAAGTTAGCAAATGATAGAAAGAACAAATAAACAAAGCGTGAAAGAGAATTATTGAATGATATGTAAACCCGTTTGCGATATTATGTTAGTAATATTTTGCATTTGAATCTTATGACGTACAAATGTGTTTCAATTAAATTCACATTTGTGTGTGCTTATGGGAAACCAGAAAAATGAAAAATATTGGCGACTCTTAAGCCAACGCTTCGAAATATTAAAAGTAGTCGCTTGTGATTTTCCCCGCCCCTGTGATGGCTACCACAACATTCAATTCTTCCTAAGCGACGCTCAGTTTGATACGCCTGCTGCAGACTAAACCTGTAGGTCCACCTCATCTTATTATTATTTAGTGTTCTGTCTGACGACAGGTCCATATGAACAGAATCCTTCAGTCCTTTTCTCGGACTGGGACCTGTTCATATACGTTCTTGGCAGATGATCCAGAAGTGGTTCGCCATTGCCTTCTTCTGTGTGTGAATGGAGTAATTGTTGGGATGCCACGGAGGAAAACTCCGTGTTGCCTAGACCACGGCCTTGCCCAACACAAGTTATAAATTCGGGCACCGCCGGGAATCGAACCCGAGACCCCCAGGATTACAAGGCCAGCGTTCTAACCGCTAGACCACCGTGACCATCACATCTAACTACAAATATTAAAATTCTGGTTTACGATGTGTCTAATCTAATCTATCTTTGTCACTCCACGACTTTCATATCTGGTATTTTAAATTACGTACGCAACTTCGGGGCATTATTTTCCGGAACTGTGTCCGTTCCTACTACGGCTACAGCACACGAATGAAAACTAGAAATCTTCGTGTTTGTTTAACGACACCCTGCCACTCCAGCTATCCTCCTAGGAACATTATAAATTAGTTAACTAGCGTCCGGCCAGCGCTTAGCACCAGGAAGCCAGCAATTAAACAGCTCGGGTCCATTGTATGTAAATGTCCGTGGCTCGAGACCCGCTGGATGTGGCACCTGTCACGCAGTGCCCTCACTCCGTCAGTGAGCAGCGGAAGTAGCCTTCGATCCACATCCACCGTACCGCTCGCAGTTCTTTCGAAGAAAGGACAACCGGACGGTGTTCAAATGAGACGCCTTACAGCCGACAATAAATCAGAACGAGGAACATGCCTACGGCTATATTAGGACAGTTTATCAAGACGTCCGGCGACAATGTGAACTGAATTGAGACTTCTTATGTTTAACAGCTTTCAAAAAGTGAGAAAACATCAGAGATACCTTGCCCAGCCCAGTTCCACCGTCTCATTGACCTACGCTGATAAAGCGTGGCTGTCTTCATACGCTGTGGCCGTTCTACTGCCGGAATCCTTTAGACAGAAGCCCGGATGATCCGATATGGGCAGAATTGTGACGAAAAGAGCTCTCCGTAGCCTTGCCGTGAATCAAACCCCGGTGCTGCGATCACATTTACGCGTTCAACAAACCGTATCGTGGATAAGTGTGTGCTCTCCTACATTTCAGTTGCTACAAACATTACATTAACTTACACAGAAAAGAAGTTGAGTCACATCTAACACCGCCACAAAAAAGACGTGGAAACAAAGCGTTAGGAGATAAATGGAGGAGATTGCACAACGAGGAACTCGCTTAGTTTTGTTGCGACTGAAATTACGACGATTAGACGGACTGGGGAACACAAGAAACACATACAGAGCGGTGGTGGGGAAACCTCTTAAAAGGCTCAATTCAGAAACTAAGATTCTAGACGCTCGTCAGGCAGTCGCTTTGTTGCTAAATTGATCACATATTTGGGCGTTCCAGGCAGTCACACGGGCTAAATCCTCAGATCAGTCAGTTAGTCTTCTAGAAACTCGATTTAGTCAGCTGCCTACGCAGCTAGCTAGTCAGTCAGTCAGTCAGTCAGTCAGTCAGTCAATCAGGGTGTCAGCCCAGTCCGTCGAGCGCTGCAATCTGATAACTTCCTCACACCTTCCTCGCCTTCGTAGATGCAACCTGGAGCTAATGCTTTAAACGAATTCGTTTCCTCGCCCGCTGAGCTTCCGAGGACTCAGACATGTGGCTCTGCGCGGAAAGACGCCGGTTCGAGGCCTGGATAAACAGGAAACTGCATAATGGAGCGTAATAGGACTGCCGCTTCCACAAAAAATAATATCATTATGAAACGAATAACAATAACAAGTCAACTGTCAAGTAGCCGCCATATTGCGTGACGTCATTCAAGGTTGCGGTGTTCCGGTGACTGCTCAGCCATTTTTGTGGCCATTAAGTGTGTCCACAATACACACATTACAAAAGAGTTATCCCATTTTATAGTACTTAGAGCCCCCTCCTGGATATTTTCTCATGAGCAGAACAAAAAGTGGATGCAATTGTACTGTCAAACAAGCGGCAGCAGTGGCGGATCACGCTTTACACTTCCCTTTTCTGGCAGCAGTTACACTTCTGTCCTAGGTAACGCTTCACGTGGAGTCAATGTCAGGAGCTACAATTCTTGATCAGTTGACTCTTAGCGTAATATAAAAAGGTTTCACGCAAATATGAACGTGATAGTCTATGATATCAGCGGTGGCCGAGCTTCAGATCCGTCACTGGGCTATAACGAGCCGAACAAAGCTACGCTTACTTGTTCACAAGTGAACAAGCCGTGGTTAAACAAGACAAGAATCGAACCAACAAGTATTGACTTGAAGGGACTAAAACATAACGAATTTCGTTACGACGACACGCGTCGCGTGGCCACAAAATAAAGGAATATATGAACAGTCGTTTCGCATGTAAAACACACAGTTTTTAAAGAAGTGAACATCGCAGGGCCAACGCTGCAGCTTCCTGCGATACCGGCTCTAATTGTTTCCGTCGCGTGTTGGGTCGCCATTACCCTGCGAGCTCTTTTCTCTTTAGTCGAGATAAGCATCTCCACTTCTCAGCTCCGGCAGAACAAAGAATAAATCAAACCTGTGAGTATTGCAGCACCGCCGATTAGATGCTAACGACCGTTTAGCATAAAACGAGTTTCGTATACGTTGACAAAGTTGTGAGAAATTCCATTGACGAAATATTTCGGGAAGTTTATCAGTTAAAAACGAGCAAGAATTATCACATTCTCCTCGTGTGGCGCATTTAAGGATTCCAAAGGGTCAGATATAGCAGGTAACGTGTCACACGTGAAGTTACAACGATTCTTAAGATGCCATAACACCAAAACATTTCGTGAAGTTTCTATGCTGGTATATTACACTTTTTTTCTAAATAGGGCCAATGTT